TCTGCCTGGAAGGCTCATGTCCATCTCATTATGCAAAACATATTAGTCCAACTTTAATGATTACCAAAGTCATAACAGTTCCAGCACTGATGAAAAATTCAAGTCCAAATTCCCCTCCAACACTGAAGGCAAACTCTCAGTAGTTACCTGTGAGCCCCTGTGAAAATTTAAAAGAAAATTAAATATTTCCAAAGTGCAATGACACAGAGTAAATGTTCCAATTCCAAGAGGAGAGAGTAAGGGAGTAGGAAGGAATTGGGCCAAAGCAAGACTAGAACCCGCAGGATGAACATTAAATACTGTAATTCCATGTGCAGCACCCAGGATAGGTTGTGGTGAGATGTGCACTCCAAGGGGCTTGGGCAGCCCCACCCCTATAGCCTTGCCTGTTGCAGCCCTCCAGGCTTCTCTCTTGGGCTGGCTCTGCTTGCTGCCTGTGGTTTTCCTCAACAAATGTTCCACATTCTTGCCATCTCCAGCTTCCTGGGATCTCCACTTGACCTCCTGCTTCTTTCACAGTTTCCTGCATTACCCTGTTAGTGGGACCTTCCCTGGCCTCCCAGGCCTTCCTCTGAAATTGGAGTGGAAGCTTCCATGACCCCACAACTCTTGTATTGTGCATTCCTGAAAAACTATCACCGTGTGGATCACGCCAGCATCTCCCATCCCCTCCAGCAGTAGCTGGAGCCCGTGTCTACACTGCTTGGGTGATTGAATTCAGGACCTAGGAGGCCTTGAATGATCAGGGCACCCTGTGTTGTCTTCTCAGAGCAGTCTTTTTTTTTTGGTACCAGGAATCGAACTCAGGACCTTGTGCTTGGCAGGCAAGTGCTTGTGCTGCTGAGCTATATCCCCAGCCCATCAAAGCAGTCTTTCAAAATTTACCCTTACGGGCTGGGGATTTAGCTCAGCGGCAAAGCGCCTGCCTAGCAAGTGCAAGGTCGTGAGTTCGGTTCCCGGTACCGGAGAAAAACCAAAAAAAAAAAAAAAAAAAAAAAAAATTTACCCTTACATACTTTTGAGCTGTGATATGTATGGTCTGGCTATTTTCTGAGATGCCTTCAAGCCATCTTTCTCATTGTCTGATATAAAATACTCAGCTTCTCTTCAGTGGCAGTAATTTTTTTAGCAACCACACTGACCTTGGCTCCTAGCTTTGCAGGTGCTTCCTTTCTGGTAAAACTGCAAATTTTTCATACCTTTCAGCTGTACTTTTTGCTCCTGATTCTCTCTAGAGAATAGGTCTGAGTGAAAGTACCCATGCCAGAGCCTGAACATTGGGCTGCCTTGAACTTGCTTCTGCCAGATTAGTCTGCCTTTAGATTCAGCCTCATACAGTCTTAGGACATGAACAAAACACTGACAAATTCCCGTTACCAGAGTGGTAACATGTATGACCTCTAGTCCAGTTTCTAATACAGCCCTCATTCTTATTTAAGGATATAAATATCCTCCTGAGCCTGGCCTTTACTGTCCACATTCCTGTCAGCATTCTGATCTGAGCTCCAACCAGAATCACTCATCAAAGCTTGGCTCACAGCATTTAGGACTTCTTTAGCTGACATCCCCAGACCTTTCCAAATTCTTCCTGCGAGCAGTTCCAGAGGCCTTCATATGTTCTAGTATAATCACAGCAGCATCCCCAATTTTGTATAATTTTCTGTATTAGTTACTTTTCCATGACTGGGACAGAATACTTATCTTTAATCCCACCCATACTTTAATTCTCTCCTAGTTTTCTTGTTGCTAGGACAAAGTACCTAACACCTAAAGTTAAAAGGAGGAAAGATTTATTTCGGTCCACAGTTTGTAAGAGGTTCCAGTCCATAACTGGCTGGTTCCAAGGCAGGGTGGCATGGCAGAAGGACATCACAGAAGAGAAACATTTCATGGCAGAAGACAGCCAAAGCAATAAGCAAGGGACAAGAACAACCACAGCTTTTTCTGTCTCTCATGTTTTACCCAGGCTTAAAGGTGGGTAGCACTTACACCCTTAATCCTAGCATATCCTTAATCCTAGCATCATGTCCTTGATCCCAGCAGCACAAACCCTAGATCCAGCCACCTCTGAAAAGCCCCACCTGTGATCACATGAGACTTTGGGGGCACATTGAGATACAAGCCATAACAGTGCCCAACACCTCAACCTAAGAGGAAGGAGTTAATTTAGTTCATGGTTTCAGGGGATTAGTTTGCTGTTATGAGAAGAACAGGAAAGAATGTTTTCTCAGCATTACCTAATTTTTTTTTAATAAGAAACTTCAGCCACACACAAAGGTAGAATACCTTATCCATTCTCTACAGTCATTTCTAGATTCAGTTAGGATGAATTTGCCACATGTGCTTTGTCTTGCCTTTGTTACTTTCCCTCTATCCTCCCTCTTCGTGGAGGCGCGTGAAGATGCTCCTCAGGCACCACACTGTCTCACTCCTGTACACTCGATGCACTTTCAAGACTGTACATTGGCTTACATAATGTGGTGGCCTTGTCCCGTGCCTTGTGTCATGTGATCCACCAGCTCTAGGCGTGTTTCCTTAGTTGCCTGTGTTGAGCTGCTGGCTTGTTTGCGTCAGGTTCTGAAGAAGGGCATCCTGTTACATTTGACGTACCTCAGCTTCTTGCATCTAGAGTCTCCCACCCCCACCCTCACCCCCCTGCTCTGCTCTTGTTGCAAACCATGGCGCAGCTGCCCTGCAAAGGGTTTATCTCTGGATTGTCTGCTTGCTCCCCAGTTCCCTTGGACCCTGTGAAGCTTCTGGCACTATGCCGCGCTGATGACCTGCTCTGCTCTGCTGGCTCCTCTTAGAGTCTTGAGATTACTCAGTGGCTTTAGGCAGCCAGCCTTCCCCGCTGTTTTCCAGGGTCTGCATCAGGTAGTCATGGGCATTCCCGTTTATCAGCTGGGCTCTGTCGTGGTCTTGAGCGTGCATAGAGGAAACCGGCCAGGTGCTCTGTTCTCTCCATTCATGACAGTCCTCGGCCACCACAGCTAGTGTTCTCGCCACTTCCTGTTTTCTTGAATGCCTGCTTCTCTTTCTCCACTTCTTCAGTTGTTAGGGGCACTTGGGTTTGTGTATGGATTTGAGTCAGTTTTGTTACAGGACTTTTTCCCCTTCGATTTTATGCCTCTGCCCCATTTTTCTTATATTGAATATTGACTCCTGACAGTATTACCATAGACTGCTTATTTGTGCTGTCCTGCTGGTTAGAAACTACAGCTCATTTGTTGAGTGAGGTTCGGTCTCCGCAGCATTATCTGTAGAGCATATTCTTTGTATGTGTGGTTGGCAGGCTGCACAGGAGTTATTGGTAGCTATGTCATCAACATGGGAGTTAAGGGTCATTCTCTTCGTTTTAAACTTTGGGGATTTTTTTCTTTTTCTACTCAGTTTTATCTTTTGAATATATAAATGTATGTCTGTTTCCAAAATCAGAACTGTGAGACACGGTGTATCTCAGAGAACTCTTAACTTCCTTCCACTCTCTCCTCCCCCAACAGCTGATGTAAAGGGAAGTTCTAGGTTCTCTTTCAGCATGTTGATTTTTATACATAAAAATAAAGGTGTGATGCACTCATATTCCTCCCTTTTTCTGCAGACGGTGCCATGGGATGTGTGCTTTTCTGTGCCTTGCCATTTCCCTAAAACGGTGCTTACCCTCCTCCCACTTTGTTTAACGGCTAGCAGCGTTTCTTGGGCAGGGCAGGGAGTGCTGGAGTTGATTTCACTCACCCCTGCATCTGGTGATAGGGTGGGCTGCCAGCAGGTTTGCTAGGACAGATACCGCCTCAGGGAATGACTTGTCCCGGGTCATTTCCTGTTCTTACCAGTGGATCTTTGGGATAGATTTCTAGATGTGTAATTACTGGGGCAAAGGATAGATGCATATATAATTCTTCTAGACATATGGCTGTAATTTTACTGAAATTCTGAGTAGGTGAATTTCACATTCCTAACACCTCCATCCAGTTTATTTTGCCAGTCCAGTTTATTTTGCCACTTTGAAAGAGTTGAAAAAGTCTCCTCAGTCACCCACACACCCTGTCTGTGTGGAATATATTATTGCAAGTGTCACTTTAGGATCTCTTGATTTAATGTAGTTAATCAGAGTATCACTGTATAGAATACAGAGATGAAAAGATTGCTGGCATGGTCGTAGCCCTCCAAAGAGCTCAGGTTGAGGGTTTGGGACTTACTTTCTTCTTTCATCGCTGCCTCATTCTGTTTGTTGTATTGTTGTCCTCCATAGGTTCTCTAAGACGGGGATGTGTATCCTCGCTGCTCCCCTGAATGGAGCGGGCTGTGGGGGGTGAATGAGGGTGTCCTAGAAGACTCTGTGCTGCGCTCAGCAGATGTTGACTGAACTCTCTCTGCTGGGACGTAACAGTTCCTGCCTTGTAGCACTTATATCCTGGAGCAGGAGATGGATCAAAAAGCAAGGAATGGAGAAGATAATTGCTAGTGTATAGAGTCCAGCCAGGACCTGCTTGCGGCAGCACAGGGCCAGCTGACACACAGAGCCTGCCTAGAGTGTGGGAGAAGCTGCCTCTGAACACAGGGAGTACAGCGGCCCTAAGACAGGACAGTGCGGCCTACTTGAGACTCGGCTGGACACAATACAGCACAAGAGAATGAGGATTGGGTCAGGCAGGCCCTGGTTTTTAGGATGACGAAACCATGGAAGATGGTTAAGCAGGGGAGTATTCGGTACCAGCCTGCCACATGTATATATTTTCTGTAAAATAGGAGGCAAATTGCATGTGAGATGTTGCTGTCCAAATCAGCAGCATTGTTACCACCTGATGTTTAGAGTGGCTCTTTCCCTTGTTACTCCCTGTACAAGACAGCTAGCTGTGTTTCACACTCAGGTGTTGAGGACTTCTTTTCTCTCAGTAGCATTCCCCTCTGGTGGTGTCTAAATAACTGCACTGGGCAGTTTGGATTGGATTATGTGCTTGGCCTTGAACAGCAGCATGATCTCTGCACATTCTCTTTTTCAGACCTGCAGATCCAAGAGACGTCCCTCCAGAAGACAGAGAAGGGAGCTGTTTCCTCAGGACCAGAAGAGGTTTGTGGTATGGATGTCATATTACAAAATGAATGAGGGGAGCAGCAGCAGCTTTCCAGACAGAAAAGGCATTGTCAACTGACTTTCATTTCTGTTGCAGAAGACCAGTGGACTGCCCTTGTTGGGCTTTCCCAGGAGCAAGGCGCACCAGCCGGGAGTCCCAGGAGCTGCTTGTAGGAAGGTTTTCTGTCTGATGTGGAGGAGGCAGAACGACACACTGACTCTTCCCAGGGAGGCTGCAGGGGCTCACGACCAGCCGGCGCCATCTCACCCTGGAAATCCGGGGACACACTGTGTAGACCTTTCTCTAGATGTGAGAAGTACGAGATTGCTCCCCATGAGGAAGATTCTGGGGGCCTAGACACACAGAGGTTTGCACCTTGGCAGCCCCTTGGAATGTTGAAAACTCAGGATCTAAAAGAAGTTCTCTGTTAATGAGTTACAGAATTGATGTGGAAGTCAATGTCACTTTATAATCAGTAGGAACACTGAGTGAGGAACACTATGCAGGAAGAAACCTTCCGTAGAAAGACAGGCAGGGAGAAGCTTAGGTTGACCTTCAGCTTGCCCTGTAGAGCAAGCCTGAGATAGACTGCCAGCATGGCCAAATGAGAGACTTGATGAAGTAGCAAGCCTGTAACCGGAGTAGCTGTAAGGAAATTTTCTCCTCTAAATCACGATACCAAATAGGAAAAATGATCTACAAGTGCCCCATGTGTAGGGAATTTTTCTCTGAGAGAGCAGACCTTTTTATGCATCAGAAAATCCACACAGCTGAGAAGCCCCATAAATGCGACAAGTGTGATAAGGGTTTCTTTCACATATCAGAACTTCATATTCATTGGCGAGACCACACAGGAGAGAAGGTCTATAAGTGTGATGATTGTGGCAAGGATTTTAGCACTACAACAAAACTCAACAGACATAAGAAAATCCACACAGTGGAGAAGCCCTATAAATGTTACGAGTGTGGCAAAGCCTTCAATTGGAGCTCCCACCTGCAAATTCATATGAGAGTTCACACAGGTGAGAAGCCCTATGTCTGTAGTGAGTGTGGCAGGGGCTTCAGTAATAGTTCAAACCTTTGCATGCACCAGAGGGTCCACACGGGCGAGAAACCCTTCAAATGTGAAGAGTGTGGGAAGGCCTTCAGGCACACCTCCAGCCTCTGCATGCATCAGAGGGTCCACACCGGAGAGAAGCCCTATAAATGCTACGAGTGTGGGAAGGCCTTCAGCCAGAGCTCCAGCCTCTGCATCCACCAGAGAGTGCACACGGGAGAGAAACCCTATAGGTGTTGTGGCTGTGGGAAGGCCTTCAGCCAGAGCTCCAGCCTCTGCATCCACCAGAGAGTACACACAGGAGAGAAACCCTTTAAGTGCGATGAGTGTGGGAAGGCCTTCAGCCAGAGCACTAGCCTCTGCATCCACCAGAGAGTGCACACCAAGGAGAGAAACCATCTCAAAATATCAGTTATATAAAATGTTTTGCTAAGAGTTAAAAATCTTAAAACCCATAAGTGCCACTAGGAAGGAAACCCTGTATATACGTACATTGACCCAAGACAGATTGACAGCAGTCCCCAGCAAATCGCTCTTTGAAGAGGCTTAGGTGAGGTTCATTTTTTGGTTCATTGACTCATGCCAAGTGTGTTCCACATCTTGACTTCGAACGTAGGAGCTGTCTGAGCACGTGCCCCAGACAGGCTCTCGCGTCCCAGTCACAGATGTGCACTTCCTGGGGCTGGCACGATGCCTCGGTAGTTGAGATGCTGCCCAAAGCCTGGGAGCAGGGCCCGGCCTCCTGAGCCGCCTTCAGCCTGCTGTCCTGAGAAGTGACCCGGTGTTCCCGTGGGAGCTCCCAGCCCTTTCTTTCTCTTGATCCCCCTCCTGGTCAGTGCGTTTGAAGAGAGACAGCTCCCACTCTGAGCACGTTTTGGTGTTCCTGAGGTAGCCGTGTGACTCAGCTCCGTAGCTTTCCATGTGTCCCATTATTTCTGCACCCACTTTACCTCATGTCCTCAAATACCCACCCCTTCCTAGATGGCATTCAGTTTTAGATTTTAGGTGACACATACCTACTCCCTTGGCCTATCAGAAGTCACTGGCAGGCATACATGCTCTGGAACTTTAGTTTTGTGGATTCTGCTAAATCACTGTGTCTCCATCGTAGTCTTATTTTCTAGTGGCTGCACCACGTATTTTGAACTTGAATTTTTTTAAGGGGGAATTGCTGAGTAAGTAGCAGGAGGCAGAAGCAAGCAGAGTGTGAACTTGTATCCCTCCAGAGTTGTGCCCTGGAGCTTTCTTTGTAACATGGGGTGCTTCTTCCGAGCCAGGGGAAGCCGTAGGAGAAGGGGGTGATAGGGGAGTCCCTCTGGGTCATGTCACTGTTCTGACACCTTGGGCAGTAATGTGGAGGCGTCCTCGGGTACTGTGTACCAGTTCCTTTTTAGGTATGAGGTGTCTGTTCTCATTCTGTCATCCTTTGCATTCCTCACTCAGCAAATATTTAGTGAACACCTGGGTGCCGGGCACTGTGCTGGGTGTCGGACATACCGCTGAGTCAGACAGACGAGGTCCCTGCTCTCGCTGAGTTTATTTCTGGTGGAGAACACAAATGATAAGTAAACAAATAATGTAGTTTGAGGTAGTGGTTAAGTGCTATGAAGAAAATAAACTAGGGTGGTGACGTAGAGTGGGGGGTGGGGGTGGGCGGCGTTAGCTGGGGTCAGGGAGGGCCCTGCGGGGGCTGCTGAGCTGGCCACAGGGTGCCCGGCGCCAGCTGCCCCGCAGGGGCTGCTTGCTGGGGGGACAGGAGGACGGCCAGGCGCCGGGTAAGGGGGGCGCACACGGAAGTCTGCTGAGCCATGCGGCAGCCTGACAGCTGTGGGCCTGTTGTTTTGTTTGTTTCGTTTTGGTTTTACTAGATTGGTATTAAAACTCGTTGGGGGAACTCAAGGAATGTTTAGAAGACCAAAAGTCCCCAACGACAAGAACGAAGGCAACCGATTCTCCCCTTAGTTTTGCTTCTCATTCCTGTTTCATTGATTTCCCACATGCAGCCCTCACGCTCAGGAAGTCTTTGGGGGAAATTAAGGATCTGTGAAGCCCTGAAGTGGGTGGTCAGGTTGGTAGTCTGTCCGCTGTACGAGGCAGGAAATGAATTTCTCAAAATAGTTACCAAAATACTGAAACTCATTTGATTTTTTTTCTCGCCATGTTTGACTCAGTTCCTTCTGTTTGACTGGAAGGGGTTTTTGTATAACTGAAACCTCAGCGCATAAGAAGGTTTCGAAAGGAGCACAGTGTGGTGGGTGGGCTGTGGAACTCAGATGGGATAAATTTGTCCGTCTCTGGGGATGAGCCCAGTGTCTGCTAACAAGCCTTGGTCAGTCGCCTCACACTCCTCTCCACGGAGAAAGGCAGCGTAGTCACTTGCTGGAGCCCCTTCCAGGCCTGCAGGCCACGATGTGATTTACTGTAGCGTCTCATCGCTCTTCATGTCAAGGTAGCGTGGAGCAGTAGAGAAAAGCCTAGACTTTTAGTTGCTAGCGAGCCAGTTGAAATATCATTGATAGAATTTTAGTTTTAGGAAAAATTGGTTTGATTTCTAGCTTTATTACTATTAGGTATGTGAGCTTGGGCAAATCGCTTAATCTTTGAGTCTAGTTTTCTCACCAAATGAGGATATTAGGCTAAATGATTTCCGAGTTTCCAGCTAGTCCTAGAGTTCTATATTTCTACATAGTTGAATTATTTTATCATGCTGTTGCTGGGGAATATGACTAACACTTTTGAAGCTACTAATTTTATGTCAAGCTTTAAAGTCCATAATTGTTATCTTCAGAAAATATTATTTGACCTACAGTATGTCCAAATCAATTTAATAAAATCACTTTATAACAGGGCTTCATGCTTGGTGTGCTGTCGTATGAACTCAATGATCACGGTTTGTCGGGGGAGGCGTCTGCCTGTGCATTATGCTCTGGATTTTTACACAGACTTTAATGATACTGAAACAGGCATCAAATGCATGTTTCCTGCCTGGCCCGTGTCTGCCGCTGCTGTTACGGTCCTGTGGACATTCCTTGTACTTGGAGCCCTGCTTGTCCTGCTGACTGGCCCTCGCCTGAGTCCCAGTGCAGAGGTGCAACAGCCCAAGCTGGCCTTGAGGGGAGCAGGTGGGAGGAGGGCACTGTGGTTGGACCCTCCTGTGCTGCTGGGATGTCAGAGCAAAGTCCATAGCGACTTCACAGTGACCTCCTGCATCTTAAGTGGGGAAGAGCACTGCATGGCAGAGCCCCAGTGCATGGTCCAAGGGACGGGAACGTGGGCTGGAAGCTGGGAATTTCTGTGTGTGGTGGCAGCCAGAACACAGCTCTCCAGGGTGCCTGCCAGCTCTTGGTGCTGCCCAGACTTAAAACTGCGTATCTCTAGCCGGGTTGCCGTGTGATTTGTTGTCCTCAGGAATATGGAAAAGGGTAAATAGAAGCCAGTGTCAGAAGCAGTTCTTAGTGGGACTTTCTGGAGTACTTGCTGGTGACGTCAGGAAGGGAAGAGATGTGAAAGGCTGGCGCCATCACAGGGCGAGAGATGGTGGGGACAGGAACGGTGCGGGTGACCCAGTGCCTGCTCTGACCTGGTGCAGTGTCTTTCTCTGGCCGTGAGATGGTTTTGAAATACCCACGCCCAGAATGGCAGGAGAACAAATGCACGTCTCGTTAAGTGCTGGCACAGCAGAGCTCCCAGCGGCCCCCCAGAGGAGGCCAGGCGCAGGGCTGCAAGTTCCCTTGCTCTGCTGAGCACGGCCGGAGCTGGGGAGGGTGGAAGTGTGCCACGAGGCAGGCGAAGGCATCTGCCTCTGAGATAAGGTAGAGCTAGAAAGAGCGTGCGGGACCGTGTAGAGTTGCAAACTTCCCTTTGTGAACTTTGAGCGGTGCGAGTGGTGTGTAAGGAAGCCGGTGGAAGGACTGCGCTGTCCGGGATGCAGAGAGGAGACCCCTGGGTGGAGGAGCCACGGAGGGCGGCCAGGGGGCCCTGAGCTCTAGGGGGCAGGGATCTGGGAGCTCTTCGGGCTTGCCGCCCAGTTGCCCAGACCCCTGAGGGGCAGGGAGGCCTGGTGTATTCCACTTCCTCTGTAAGGCAGAACAACTTAGGAGCTTAAGTAAGTGGAAATGAGGGAGATAACCGAGTTTTTCTGGGTCTTCCTTTTTATGAGGAGACGTATGGGCAGCTGAAAGATCGTGGGGCCTGGCGTGTGCACACCCCAGTAAGAACTCGGCAGATTGCAACGGAAGGGACTCCTAGACCAGAGCTCTCGTTCAGATTCTGGCATCTGCAAATTCAGTGGCTGTCTAAAGAACAGCTTACAGAGGTGCTCTTATTCTAGGTGAATTTATAACTTTACAGACTGTGTGCGCCCTGCCGTTTAATTCTGGCATGATACTTCTGAAAATGGTTTCACTCAGAGCCTAGTCTCCCTGCCTCAGCTCTTGGCCTGCTTCGTTCCATCTTCTTGGCATCAGGAATTACACATGCAGTGTCCCGGCTGCTGAGGGCACGGCTTGGGGTTGGCTGATGGCTTGCAGGGAGATGGAGACCTTGTACGGTGCTCAGTTGTTTCCTGGGGAGGAACGCCTGACAGACCTTCCCAGCCCACGAAGCTCGCTGGCGGGACAGCTTGTGCTTTTGCCGCCACGTAGGCACTGAGCCCAAGGCCCTGGCAGAGGGCGCCTGGGATGAACAGGAGTGCTAGTGCTGCTGTAATTTGGATCTTAAAGGTCCCTCGGAGGCCTGGGCACAAGCTTGGTCGCTGATGGGAGGAAGTGGAGCCTGAGTAGCTGGGCCCGTCCCTTGGGAGTGGCCTCGAAGGGACTGTAGGGTGCTGGACTCGCCTCTCTGGGCTGCTTCCTGGCCACAGGGCGAGCGGTGATGTGTGGTCTCACTCAAAGCAGTGGGGCCAGCGGCTGGGGCCGGAGCCTCTGCGGCGGGGCCGGAGCAAACCTTCTGTCACTTTATCAAGTGACTTCATCAAGCCCAGACCATTGTTAGAGTAGTGGAGAGTCAGCACAGATAAGTGGGCGAAGAAATAACGCTACGCTGTGTTGTAAAGGAAGGGGAAGGAGGGACATAGGCCGGAAATGAAGTGTGCGTGTGTGTTGCCTCACTGGCTCCGTGGATGAGCAGTACTGGGTGTGACAGAGCTGAGACCAGCGCACCGAGGTCGGCGTGGGTGTGGACGCCTGGTGTCAGAGTGGCCGGACTGGACGTGGGAGGAGTTGGCCGAATGCACTAGCAGAAAACGAAATCGTGCCCGAGTCTGGGTCACAGAGGAGCCGCTTCCAGCTGTGAAATTGGGGTGGGGTCTCCAGGGTGCTGTGGGGTGTTTTCAGGTTCTCAGCGAGCCTGTCACTTGGAGGTCTCTCCTGGGTGTACTTTCTGGCTCCCACTTGCCTTGCTGGAGCACGGAAGAGGCGGCACCTCAGCCCTCAAGCCAGCCGTTTTGCGCCTCCGTCCTGTCCATCCTGAAACTGTCCTGTCCCCTTCCTGAGATGAGCTCAGCATCCGCAGGGACTCGGTGCCATTTAAGAGCTGGAGGACAAACCGTGGACTGTGGCTGCTGGCAAGCAAGCCGGACTCCCGAGCCACGGCCGCCACTCTGTGTCACCGCTGAACAGGGCGCATTGGGGCCTGTGGGTCCCGTCCACACTGCTCGCCATGACAGCCCACTTGGCCCCACGAACATCCGGAAGAGGAAAAGGGAAAAGCAAGAAGGCATAAAGTCCGCTGCCAGGTGTACGGTTAAATACCCTGTCACTCGCAGTAAACGTGGGTGAGGTAAATTCTGCTGTTTATGGACATTTTCAAATTGGATTATAAACTTGGCTGCATGGCTGAGACAGAAGGGGCAGGAGATACATCCGAAGATGCTGGCAGAGAGAAAGCCCCGGGGAGCGCTGTCCTCCCCAGAGGGTGCCGGAGGAGGGCAGCAGTGAGAGCGACGTGTCCACAGGCGGAGCACGCACGCGTCTCCCTGTGACTGGCCGCACGGCCGGGACAGACAGCGCTCTTAGAACGCAGTGGAAGCCGAGCGCTCCATCGCAGCAGTGCCTGCGGACCCCGGGTTCTCGGAGGGCTCAGGGCAGCCGGGCAAGGGTGCGGCCGTGTGGCTGGGGTCGTGAGGGCATGAGACCTCTAGGGACAGTCATGAACACTGGGAAAAGAAATGTAGAAAGTGTAGGGCTTCTCATTTTATCCAATGACACTTGTGTCTTCGTGAGCATTCTCGGTGCCTGGTCTTCCACCTGTTAGTATGCCAAATCATCTAAAAAATACAGGTTTTTTTTTTTTTTTT